ATATATATATATATATATATATATATATATATACACATACACACACAGTTGAAGTCAGAATTATTAGCCCCCTTTAGTTTTTTTTTTTTTCTTTTTCAAATATTTCCCAAATGATTTTTAACAGAGCAAGGACATTTTCACAGTATGTCTGATAATATTTTTTCTTCTGGAGAAAATCTTATTTGTTTTATTTTGGCTAGAATAAAAGCAGTTTTAATTTTTTAAAAACCGTTTTTTGGGACAGAATTATCAGCCCCTTTAAGCTATTTTTTTTCTGACAGTCTACAGAACAAACCATTGATATAGAATAACTTACCTAATTCCCCTAACCTGCCTAGTTAACCTAATTAACCTAGTTAAGCCTTTAAATGTCACTTTAAGCTGTATAGAAGTATCTTGAAAAATATCTAGTAAAATACTATTTACTGTCATCATGGCAAAGATAAAATAAATAAGTTATTAGAAATAAGTTTCTAATTCTATTATGCTCAGAAATGTGCTGAAACAATCTTCCCTCCATTAAACAGAAATTGGGGAAAAAATAGGGGCGCTAATAATTCAGGGGGGGCTAATAATTTAGGGGGGCTAATAATTCTGACTTCAACTGTGTGTATGTATATATATATATATATATATATATATATATATATATATATATATATATATATATTATGAATAAGTTTAATTTAATAAATTATAAATAAGTTAAATTTAATAGAAAAAATTAACCCAATAATTGAATTTGTCTATTTTTGAGGTTGTATTTGGGTTAAAACTCTTTGGAGAGGTTTTAGAGTGAAAGTATTTCTTTATAGAAGTTTTGTTTTAGTATTTTATGAAGAAATATTTTCAAAATGACAAATATTATTTTATATATTAATGTATAATATATATTAAAGATTAAGTTAAATTCATTCAGTTAAAGTCATAACTAATAGCCCACCTTTGAAATTTTTTTAAATAATTCCCAAATGATGTTTAAAAGAGCAAGGAAATGTTCACAGTATGTCTGATAATATTTTTTCTTCTGGAGAAAGTCTTATTTGTTTTATTTTGACTTGAATAAAAGCAGTTCTTAATTTTTTAAAACCATATTAAGGTCAAAATTATTAGCCCCCTAGCTCAAGCTGTATATATGTTCGATAGTCTACAGAACAAACCACCGATTTACAATAACTTGCCTATTTACCCTAACCTAGTTAACCTAATTAACCTAGTGAAGCCTAAATATTACGGACTGTCATCATGGAAAAGAAAAAAAAAAAAAACTTAATAAGAAGTGATTTTTAATTTATAAGTAGCACATCACCATGTTAGAATGTGGGAGCAGTGATCCTGAATATTCACATCACAGTGATATATTACATATTTTTTAAATATTAACATAAGAATGTTTGTTTTAAATGACTTTATTTCACAATGTTGCTGTTTTGACAGTGTTTTGATCAAATGTGACCCTGGACCACAGTCATAAGGGTACTTACTTTGAATATGAAATTTTTACAGTTCCTGGAAACTGAATAAATATACATTCCACTAATGTTTGGTTTGTCAGGAATCTGATGGTTCAAAAAATATGATATTCAGAAAATCACCTTTAAAGTTGTCTAAGTGTGTTTAGCATTGCAGCTTACTAATCAAAAATTAAGTTTTGATATACACTTGAAGTCAGAATTTTATTTATCCTGTATATTTATTTCCCAAAGTTCTGTTTAAAAGAGAGAGATTTTTTCAAACATATTCCTTAACATAACAGTTTGAATTAACTAATTTAACTGATTTATTTGATCTTTGCCATGATGACAGTACATAATATTTGACTATATATATTTTTAGGACACTTCTATACAGCTTAAAGTGACATTTAAAGGGTTAATTAGGTTAATTAGGTTAACTAGGCAGGTTAGTGTAATTAGGCAAGTTATTGTATAACAGTAGTTTGTTCTGTAGACTATCGCAAAAAAGAAAAAAAAAAGCTTAAAGGGGCTTATAATATTGACCTTAAAATGGTTTAAAAATATTAAAAACTGCTTTTATCCTAGCTGAAATAAAATAAATAGGACTTTCTCTAGACAAATATATATATATATATATATATATATATATATATATATATATATATATATATATATATATATATATAT